TATTTTAATTCTGGAAAATTACTAGATTTGTGTACTTTTGCACTTCTGTACTCCCATCCTGACTAATATTTTAATTCTGGAAAATTACTAGATTTGTAGCTTTAAACCAGCGTTCAGATTAGTTTTTCAACTTTTTCCATTTTTCCCAAATATTTTGTTTCTAGAAACTGGTCGCCCAGCAACCCAATGATGAAAAGTACTTGTTTGAAGTTAAATATGTAAATGAAAGTAGTGGTTACATGTCTATTAAATCAAAAAATACTGGGAAGTACCTTGCTAGTGATGACAGAGGAAATGCATTTATGGAGGAAGTCAAGCATTCTTCACTGTTTGATGGCCAGCCAACAGACAGAAGAACATGGTTTAATCTGCTCTTTGTGGAAACAGTGAAAAGAGAAAGAGAAAGTACATTACATAGTTGTAACTTCGATGACACAAGTCTTGATTATTCAGTCAGGTATCAAACTCAAGTAGAAGCCTGTTAGGTATTACTAAGTAGCAATGTGAAAATTATTTACAAGAATAAGCTAGGAGAATTTTAAAATTTTTTCAATCTTGGAACGTTTTTGTACCAGGAGTTCAAAGATACTGATTTAGTTTTTTGAGCAGTGTATATTTGCTTATTTTGTGGTTTACACTTTTGATAAGTTTTTTACATTTCAGATGTAATGAAGAAAAAATTAGCTCAAGCTTTTTTTACTGTTAAAACAGTCCAGAATAACTGTTAAGACTAATTACAATAAAATAATACAGTATATTTCATAAAGTTTAATAGTTAAGAGGCCTATTCATACTTAAAAGTATTACATAATGTTTGCTAACAAATACAACTTAAAATGTTGTAACAAATTGTAACTGGTACTTTACCCAGAATATACGTTTTACTCTATGAGTATATTAATTTATATCAAAATCATTTTTGTACACCAAAATTTGTTGTGTACTCATTTAAATACACTCACTAGTGTGTATGTTGTTATTTACAATGATTTCAGAATAAAATAATTCCAAGCTGGGTTTTTTTAATAATTTGTTAAAAGACTTGAATGTATTTCAAACTTCACTTTGAACTGTAGAATCTTTACAAGCCCAAGTAGCATAGAATGCAGTCTTGGATGTTGTTTAATCAAAACAAAAGCATTGACCAGGCCATTAGACAGACAGTAATTCTGAATAAAAAAGGTAAAAGTTGTAAGGAGTCATTGGGAACTCAGAGTAAAGACTTGAAACTGGTTGCAAGTCAGGGAAACATAAGCAACCACGTGAGCTAAGTGTGTGCTAATCAATTTGAAGCTTCAACATCCTCCTCCCCCACAGGTATTCAACCATTGTCTGCACCTGGGGGTTGGGGAATTTTTTAACCTTGCTTGGGTGGGGTGAGGCATTTGAACTTGAAGTGTCAAGTCTTTCCTCCTGTGTAATACAAAGGTATTAATGGAGGAATTTAATGAGAAAGAGCGTTAACTTTCATAGATGGCTTAGAAAGAAAATTTTCACATTGTAGAATGATGCTTACAAGTGAAAAACCCAACAGCTCTACCAAGAACTAATATGTGAGTTTCCTAAGTTCTACAGCATTCACACAAAGAATTGTTCAATATTGGGTGAGGTCTTTGAAAGCAATTTTGGCCGGGGGTGAGAGGGAGGTGGAAAATTGAAGGTGCCAATTTTCAAAAGCTCAAATGCCAATGGGGGTTGCTAGGTGGGGGAGGTGGATGTTGAAGCTTCAGACTGAATGCTGCATTACCAGCCACTCAAACAAGTAGCAGAAATCAGGGCTAATGATCAAATCAATATTGGCTTTAGTTCAATTTGAAGACTGATTGGTTAAGAGGAGAGGGTATTCTCTTCATGATCACTATGTATTGTAAAGCTAAACAAAATGAATGCAATGCCAAGTTAGTTTTGACATGTCGCTGAAAAATTGCTTCATAGTGAGACATCAAGGTCTGTTTTAAGCATTGCTTACAACCAAGCAAACATTTAAAACAGAAACCTCACAGAGGCTGATAAAACTTTTGCAAATGGCAACTGTGTGACCAACATAATTTCGAACTGGTGATTCGCTCAAGATGTTGACGTTGATTTCTGGTCATGTCCCAAGAATTACTTTTCAGGGAGGAGAGTGCCAAGGAGGAACATCTGGACAATCATGCTAAAGGGTTTGATTTCATCTTGTGTTGTATGAAATTCATGTTCATTCATACGTTGAAAGAATTTAAAAAAAAGTGAAGGAATCGATAGTACGGACCATTCGTTGTTGATATTAGGGGGGTGGGCAGGTTAATAATTAAGCAGTTCCAACTGATTTTGTAAGTGATTGGCAAAAAGATGTTCATAAAAAATGTAATCTGTATTTTTCTTTTTGTCATGTGGGGTTCGTGGGGGTTTGATTTCCGCACAACATGCGGTGAAGTCACAGACTTCCTTCGCTTTTCCTGCAAGGGGGTTTAAAAATTTTCGTTTCGCTTTGCAACAGTTTTCCAAGCTCCTCCCCCTGCCAGAAATAATGAGTAGTACCTTGGATGCACAGCCAAAACTTCATGTAGTAAAGTAAAACCAACAGCGCCCCCTTCTTCCTACCAAAACACCCTTCCGTCATCTTCATAAGTAAATGAATACAATTGAACGCTTGCTAAAAAAAGGGACACGAATGACAAGAAATTTCCAGGGTTGTGGCATATTGCACGACTGCACCTCGGACAAGGAAACCTTGTAACGAAAGAAAAAAAAGTGAAGAAAGTACCATATAAATGTTACAACAAACCTGTTAACCGGGTTGAGTATTAGATCTGCTAAGAAAATCATTAAACAGCCGTCAAAGACAGCCTCCCGAGCTAATCTTAAAAATTCTACACATGACTTCTGGCTATATCATATTATTCTCCTTCAAGTTTCAAAGTCTTCTTCCACTTCAGGTAGATTATCCTTCACTTGAGTTCTTTTTTCTCGCCGTCGCAAGATTTCATATCGGTCGAATATTTCTTTTAAATGTGAAGTGAAGCAACCTTTACTTCTCCGAAAATCGTCTTCGTTATCTTAGTTTCTATCTCCTGCATTCTCAGTGGCCGCTCAACTCATCAAATACAAGCTCTTAGGTAAACTTCTCACAAAAGTAGAAAAAATTCCACGCGCCGCCATCTTTGTTTTGAATTTTCATCTTTTGATCTCGCGCTTCTTTCGCACGTTTCTCTCACGCGCGTCACGCAAGAGTGACCTGTTCCCCGCGCGAGGAAACTGGTACGAGCCACCTAGAGGTAACTAAGATAACGAAGACGATTTTCGGAGAAGTAAAGGTTGCTTCACTTCACATTTAAAGGAAGGAAATTTGCGATGTGTGAAAATTGCCCTTTTTGTAGATTTTCTGAAATTCCGCTCCGTAGATTTTTTTAAAAATCTTTGTGCATTTTCCTTTTCAAGTGCCAAAAGCAATCACTGAAAAAAATCAGGGGGTCACCGGGTTAGTTTTTGAATTATTTAAGCCACAAGCTAAAAAATGCGTCTGAATAAGCCTATGAAAGCGTTGCCATGGAAACTGCTAGTAACGAAATGACACTTATTTTTGGATAACCAATGATTATGTAATTCAACCCCGTAAAAGTGTTCAACTGGCCTTGGTCAGTCTTTTTGTTGTATTCTTTCAAAATTACAAACCATCAAAACGATGAAAACCGGTACGAGCCACCTTAAGTAAGCATCGCGAGGTACGCCGCATGAATTTCCCGCGCGATCATCGAAATTAGTGTTTATGTAAAGCAAACTGAATTGTCTCGCTCAACTCAAAGAGCGAACTATATCCTGGTTCCTAGTTTTTACATAAATACAAGCATTTCTAAGCCCAAATCTCACTCTAATCTTGAAAATTGTAATATAAAACGAGGTAAAAAAAAGCCATGCATTAGCAAAGAACGGAATACCGATGTGAGGGAAAACGTACAGAAAACGGAAAAAGATGATGATGATGATGATGATGATGATGATGAAAATCTTGATGAAAATCTTTATCGATTAATCAGTTAAACCAAACACTTGCAGACAAACGTGTAAGTTTAGGCATAGGGTAAAATATCGACTGGACTGGACTATTTTTTGGACCATGTTTTGGACCATTTTTAGGACCCTTTTTTGGACCAATTTTTTGGACCATTTTATAAGGGGGTAAGCACACCATTAGTATTCAGAGAGGGGTGAATGCAGTCTATAAGTACAGAGGGAGGGGTGGGAGGCAGAGTGTTATTACTCGGGGAGGGTGGGAGGTGGTCGTAATTGTAAGTACTACTGGTTAATGGAGCTTTTACTCGTTCGCGCAAATAATTTTATTGGGTTTTTCGACTTTTTGTACATCCAAATTTTTGCGCTGGACCGCGGCGTTTCTTTACTTTTTTTGTCATGCGAAAGCGAAAATGCCACGTAAACACTGGACTTCAATTTTTATTGAAAATATTGCGTGTATGATCCTCTACTATTGAGTTGCCAGTATGGCATAGGTTAGACGTGTGCCTTTTGAGGCGACTTGTGCACTATCAGTTTTCCTTTGTGTATACAGTATGTAATTACCAGATTTATCTATCTTCCTTTGTCACTGCTGTTATCAGACGAGATCACGGAATTTCGGGTCCTTAGCCCTTGACTTATCCGCATATAGAAATCACAAGCGCTATCGCAACTTTAACGTTTATACGTTTACTATATAAAATAATTGTTGGTACACTCGTACATATCAACCTTCTCTCGGGTGTCTCTAAAACACAGACCTCGAAAACGCATACCGCAATCCGCAGACCGCAAACATCGAAAACGCAGACTTCGAAAACGCAGACCTCAAAAACGCAGACCTCGAAAACGCAAACCTCGAAAACGCAAACCTCGAGAAATTTGTTTTCGAGATTTCGAAGAGAACATTGGTTCATGTGCAGACGTCCAACGTTGAGCGCGGGACAAACCATATGTGGCTACCGAAATAGACATTCCCTACTTTCAAGTCGCGGTGTACCACAGTCCTTGAATGCAAAAATTCAAGTCCCTCGGTGATATCAACCACTGCCTTGAGAAAAAGCGGTAAAAAATACTGAAAGGCTTCGTCTGCTTGTATTCTATCGAGGCAAAGCAATAATTCGAGGAGATCTAAACCTGAACATTAAGACCGAATGGCAGGAAATCAAAACACATCATTATGGCAACCGGTTTAAGACCGATTAAAATAATTTGTACGATCGAGTTAAAGCTCCATTAACCAGTAGTGTTTACAATTACAACCACCTCTCGCCCCTCCCTGAATGATAACAGTCTGTCTCCCAGCCCTCCCTCAGTACTTATAGACTGCGCCCACCCCTCCCTGAGTACTAATGGTGTACTTCCCCCTTATAAAATGGTCCAAAAAATGGTCCAAAAATGGTCCAAAAAATGGTCCAAACAATGGTCCAAAAATGGTCCAAAAAATGGTCAAAAAATAGTCCAGTCTAGTCCATATTTTACCCCATGCCGTAAGTTTACAAAGCAGCGCTCAAAGCGCTCCGATGCAATACGTGGTACTATAGTCATGGCCACGTTCACGTCAAGATTGATATGTACGTTAGTTTGGTAGAAGATCTGTTAAACAATGTGTTTGAACTACATCACTGATGAATATGCGCCCCTTGGTGTAGGGGTGTCTACAAAACGAAGACCGAAGACCGAAGACCCGGAAATCAATTAAATAAAATATCTAAAGACCGAAATTCCTTTGTTTCGTCAGCCCGTGAAGATTCAAATGACGGCCAGGGCAGATCTTTCTGTTTGAAGACGTCATTTACCGAAAGCTTCTGAGTGCCGAGGACGTAATCTTTCCTCATCTCGGGTGTCCATTCAAACCACACGTAAGCTGGCACTTGTAGATATCTGGCGTGATCTGCAAGGGTGTACTCATCACTGACCCCTGCGATGGCAGAGTGCATCTCATCAATTTGCTTTGCATGAACAACCTCAAACACGTTTTGCGTAAACTGAATCTTGTTCAGCTGCAAGACACAAGAGTTTTGTTTCGAGAAAGTTTCTTTAGCAGATTTCATGACGTTGTTCATGGACTCTGAATTGTTAGTATACCTGACAACGTAGAAGCTTACCATCATCCCCAACCCCCATTCCCGCCTCCTTTCGAACTTTCTCTACCATGTGCCTCGCCATCATATCTGAACGTTCTTTCAGATAGGGCCAGAACTTAGGAGTATACGTCTCATCGAGTCTCTTCAACAACTCCCTCTCCCTATCTTCCATCTCACTCTTTGATGACTCCAAACGATCACGTAAATCATCCTGATCAATAGCATCCAGTATACCTTGCTGCCGTTCTTGGAATTTCAAACACTTGATGCAAGAAGAAACGCTGTTTCTTTTTATGCCGAATTCCGATTTTCTGGAGCTTTTCCTTGCAATTGTTTTCGAAATGCTTAAAGCAGCGTAAGCTCCTGGCGTTCTTTAGCTCGTCTTCAAAGGCCCATTGAAGGTTTTCTTCCCCATTAGTGATGAACCTTTCGCCTTTGACAACCCCTTGTATTTGGAGGCACATGCCGCGACAAGGGCTCTATAGGCATCATAGGTCTTATTATGGTGAATCATAGTAGGGCCTAAAAACAAAGAGGGCTTTCGTTCCTCCTTCTGGACTTCAACAAAAGATGCTTGAAAACAACTGGAGTAACCTCAAATTTTCCCATTTGGAACGTTGGATCAACACTGAAAAGATGAGAAATTATGTCTGATGAGGTGAACTTTGCCAGGGCAGAGCACATGCTGTTTGTACCAAGCACCCACCGATCTTCAGAGAAGTCTGAGTGGTGAAGGATGAGATCTTCCTTATCTCAAGCATACCTTAAAAGGTATTCAACGTCATCTTTTGCAACAGAACTGCTTAACCTAGACTTGGCGTTGTATATCTGCTGCTTTCCACGTGGTAGGTCAGACACGGAAGAAGTCCCAAAAACACCACCTGCCTTCTTCCCGTCAGATTACTGTAAACTCCTTGGGATCCTTTCTTCTCTATGTTGCCTTTCATTGCTGTGAGCATGCTTTTCTTTAGAGGGTGGAATGGCTTGGGATTTGTGGACCATGAGTTACCGTGCTTCTGCACCTCTACATCATCAACTTGTCCCTCTTCGCTGCTGACGTGGTATTGCAAAAGAGAAACGTTCTTTTGTATAATTTGGATATATCAACAAAGTTGAAATGGTAAATTGGCCACCGTAATGATTACAAAAGCTGACGTTTCGAGCGTTAGCCCTTCGTCGGAGCGAATAGAGGAATTGTGGGTTGTGTGTGCTTTTAAAGGCAGAAAATGGAGCTACGTTATTGGTGGGTGCATGGCAACGAGAAAAACATGAATAAATTAGTGGAATGAAAAGCGTTCATTGATCCCTGTGGGATTTAGACTGCCGGTTTGAAAGATGAGCTTTTGTTCAAGATTTTTACGGCTTTCCGTGCCACCTAAGTGCAAGGAAAGACCGCAGATTGCCATATGTTGCTTA